GAATACACTAAGTCATTTCTCAGTACCTCAAATACAGTCGATTCTCAGTACTTCAAACACAAACAGTGATTTCTCATTACCTCAAATACACAAAGACATTTCTCAGTACCTTGAATACAAAGTCATTTCTCAGTTCCTCAAATACACAATCATTTCTCAGTATCCTGAATATACAAAGCCATTTCTCAGTACCTGGAATACACAAAGCCATTTCTCAGTACCTTGAATACACAGTCGTTTTTCAGTACCTCAAATACACAAAGTCATTTCTCAGTACCTCGGTTACACAATCATTTCTCAGTACCCTGAATACACAAAGCCATTTCTCAGTACCTGGAATACACAATCATTTCTCAGTACCCTGAATACACAAAGCTATTTCTCAGTACCTGGAATACACAAAGCCATTTCTCAGTACCTTGAATACACATTTGTTTTTCAGTACCCTGAATACACAAAGCCATTTCTCAGTACCTGGAATACACAATCATTTCTCAGTACCCTGAATACACAAAGCTATTTCTCAGTACCTGGAATACACAAAGCCATTTCTCAGTACCTTACAACTCTAATTGTATGATCATGGCTAACTGACTCTTGTTCCTATATTGTTATAACCCCTTCTAGCTAAACATTATACAAATATGTTGTCACATGATCACAAAATTGAACAGATGAGATGTATTTGAAATACTCATGAGCATTAAGACATTAAATAAAATTTTATTTAATATAAAGTGCTAATTTGTCAAAAAATGTAAATTAAAGAAAATGAATAACAATGTCTCATCTCAAAAGTGATCACAAGCTGACAACAATTATATAAACTGACGTACTTATCCCAAAACCCCTGCATAAAAACAGAATTAAAATGTAGGTCAAGGTGGCGAAAATTGTGTGCTTTATAGGTCTTAATAACCATTTCCAACAGCATTATATGATATCCATGTTATTTTTTATTCCTGTGGTTGGAGGCTGTTCATGGAGATACTATGGATCACTTGGAACTTGGAGTATTCTGAGAGTGAAATGGGTCACATATGTTTGTGTATTGTCTTAATTATCAGCTTTTATAGAAACAAATTAATTGTTTTTCAAACTGAAATAAAGAGATGATGTTACAGATTTTCACAAAATTTGGTAAATATGTTCACACCTTTTTTTAATTAGATTTTCCAAATTTAATTAATTTTTAGAAGTTGCGTACAAATTGAATATACATAAGCAATAAAACATAGCTACATATATCTATGGAAAGAACAAGAATAGTGTCAGAAATTTAAATCTTTCATAGTCGTTATTCTGTTTATTATTTATATTTACATGTTTTACAATCAACCTACATTACATACAATTCTTGACATACAACACCACATGCCGGCTGATACATGTACATTGCACAGGCAACTCCAAAATGTTTATGCAGCAAAGCTCACTCAAGGGAGAGTGTGACCGAAACTGGCATCGTTTTGAAAAAAAAAATCCCATTTCACCTACTATCAATTAAATAGTATACCCACAAATGATTTTATATTTAGTATTAAACTATATTTAACTAGTTTATCAAATATTACTGGTTTAGTATTGATACATGTAGTTGATTATTTGAATGTCATAGCAAGTTTATATCACAAATATTTGCACAGTTAGCATTGGATTTTTGTCCATTCACAATGTTTTAAACATGATATATTGCTATAATAATTTTTTTTTTTAATTTCCATATTTCATTTATTGTTTTTATTCAGATTTTAATCAGATTGCACTATCAATTTCCAAACACACATAAAAAAATTAATTCAAGGAGCAGGAGTGAAATTAATATTTTTAGTAGAACCTTAATGACCAAAATGACAGCTGTGTCTACAGAACTTCTAACATGTGTGACTGTTATATAGCCATGAAACCATCCACTCAGTGAAACAGTTCTCTTTCTACCCACAGTTAATCATGAAATGTCCACACATGTGTTTGTTCAAACAACTAAATAAATTGTATAACTGTAAAATAACAACATGCCATTTTAGCGAATTTGGCTCAGTGCATGAATTAATAAAACCTTGATTTATCGAAAGCACTAACAGTGACATTGTGAGAATATGAAGTTATTACGAGGATACCTCAAAGTATGCACAAAGAGAGTACAGCTGGACTACTCTCTGAGTGCTTACTTTGAGGTATTCTCGTAATAACATTATTATTACCAGTATACATCTTTTCCTTCCAAGGATATACCATTTGAATGCAAAATATATAGAACAGAATCAGCGAACTTGGCAGCCATGTTTGTTTTTATCACCAGAGGACGCTTATGTGCGTAATCATTCCATATTTAGAATTTGTATTTCCTAATATGGTAGGATGAAAATACCCCATAAAATACAGCAAAATTACGGCACACTGTAACTTATGGTGACAGATGTATAATAATATACTTTATTTGAATAAGCGAAATCATGAATTAGCAT